GAGAGCCCAATCCTTCCACATGGGGCTCCACCCCAGGACCCTGAGATCATGACCTGAGCTGAAATCAGGAGTCTGTTCCTTAACCAACTGAGCCACCCAGGTGCCCCAAGACTACCCAGATTTTTAGAATTCTAAAGGGAATGTGCCTTGTACTTGAAGAGCTCCTAAGAGATGGGTCTGGTAGCCTGGATTTTAGGCTTTCCTGATTTTTATGAAAGATTTTTATACTTGACATTTCACAAGGAGGAAAAAAAAGCATAAAACCAGAAGTCACTGTAAAAGTACTCGAATTCTCTATCTAGATTCAATTTTTAAAAATATTTTATTTAGAGAGTGAGAAAAAGTGAGTGGGAAGAGGGGCAGAGGGAGAGAGAATCTCAAGCAGGATCTGCGCTGAGCACAGAGCCCAATGCAGGGCTCCATCTCATGACCCCGCGGATCTTCACCTGAGCGCACCCAAATCAAGAGCTGGATGCTTAACCGACTGAGCCACCCAAGTGCCCCTAGATAAATCTTAACCAGGTTAGCTTTTAGCACAGAATTAAATTCATACTTTAAATTGAGATGATTAGAAATAGTTGAGGGGCACCTGGGTGGCTCAGGTGTTGGGCATCTGCCTTCGGCTCTGGTCGTGGTCCCAGGGTCCTGGGATCGAGCCCTGCAACGGGCTCCTTGCTCAGCCGGGAGCCTGCTTCTCCCTCTCAACTCCCCCTGCTTGTGTTCCCTCTCTAGCTGTCTGTCTCTGTCAAACAAAATCTTTAAAAAAAAAAATAGTTGAAATGGCAGCAAAACAATGGTCAATTTTTGGCAACCTCCTAAAAAAAAGAAAGTGTGACATGCTTAGTGTTGGTCAGTCAGCTTAAGTCTAATAACAAAGGACCATCACATTTTCCAGGGGCAAAGGATAAGAACACTTATGACAATTAAGAGATCTCACCAAGAATTCTTGCTCTGCTCTGGTCAGCAAGAGAGACTGCAGAAGCACCTTTAATAATGGCTCATAAATCCACAGCAGCATTCATAAATGTCAGAACAGACTTTAGATAAAATGCAACTGGCTAAGCCAGAAGCTTCCCTAACAGCAACTGGCTGAAGAGCGGCGGTTCTCCAAGTGTCCCTCTCTTCTCCTCCCCACCAGTGGCATAAGCCACACATGGATGCTCGTCAGACACGCAAACCCTCCCACCTCGTGCAGAACAACCTGGTTTGCCAAGCCCTCCAGGTGGCTGGGATTTGAGGGCACTGCTGTGGAAGGTCCTACAGCGGTTTTACGTGTGAAACCAAGCACAAGATGCCCAATTCAGTGTGTCAGGCTTGTCCCGTTTTGGCTGACCCAAGCTCCACTTCCCATTGCCCATCCCTTTCAGTGGGCAGCCCAAAGAGTAGGACTTTGTTCAAGCACACTTTCAAAAGGCCCTTAGAGATAGGTCTAATGGAAAAGTCAGCTAGTTTTCCTATGTTACCATAGTAACAGGAAGCATCATTTACTCCTGTAAGAAAGGTCCCCTTTGCAGGGGACACGGAATATTTACAGAAAGATCTCTTTATCCTAGGAAACCAAGTTTTGGAAAAGCAAATATGGGAAACTTAGCCTCTAAGGCTTCCATATACACCTTTACAGCCCATGTTCTAAGTGAACTTTCCCTAATTATGGCTGCCCAATAAGGAAAACATGTGTCCTGGGCAAACCTCCACTGTCTACTCTGAAAGACATTTCCATGTAATGGAGAAGAGGACTGTCTTCGTTCATGCCCCCTACTGGTCCCTCGGTCCCAAATCCACAGGGACAAGGACCGGCTTCATCTCTACCCATCCTTAATGACACTTAAATGTCCTAGGATCCTTCTTTAGGCTACACTCAGTCCTACTGGGAGCTGCCATAAACATAATAATGTTTATTTCTGGATTTTAAAATCAATTTCATTTTGTGTGTAGTTCTTTATTTGTATAGTTTATAAATAGCTTCTGTATTTACCATTTCATCTGATTCTCATAACAACCTATGAGGGGGCTGCAGTTTTATTATTCCCACTAAAAAAACTGAAACTTAGTGGTGACTTCAATAAACTGACCATTGAACATTGAGAAAATACAAATGTTTTGCATCAAAAATGAAAGAATGATGTCCCCCCCCCTCCAAATTCCAAATTTGCTTGAATTGGTATCTGCCAAATGAGACTAAAATCGTTAAGTAGGTTTCTAGGTTAGGTGATATTTACTGGCTCAGGAAGGGTGGAGAGCTGAAAGCTAAGACAAACTCTCCCAACTACAGAATGGACAGAACCTGCTAGGACATCTGGAATTCTATGGGGTTCAAAGTTACAACAACAATGATGATGGCGCTAAGATTTTTTCAACTCTTACTACAAGACAGGCACCATTCTATGTTCATTAAATATATTTAACCACCCTATTAACAGCACCAGTTTACAGATGAGAAAAGGCACAGAAAAGCTAAGTAACTTGCCTGAGATCACACATCTTGCTCCCTGCTCACAGAGGAGGATGTGGGACTGGAGGTGCCAAGCCCCTGTGAGGTGTGCCTGGCCAATGACGAAAATCTGACATGGAGGGCAGCCACCACAGGAACCTGGATGACGTTTCCAGTGTTGCCATTTAAGCAACAGTCTCTGCATGCTTTCCGCCAAAACATCAATCAACGCTCAGGTTCCAAGTAATCAGGAGCATCAGCTGAGACTCCAAACAACCCGTTCCTTTTCAGACTGTTCCTATGAAGGCTGGGAAGGAGGGGAGAGATCTTGATTTTCTAGATTTGCTGATTTGCCTGGAACTGCCTTCAGCTAATTTAAGAAAAATTAGAGAGGAAAGCAGCACTGGAGGAGATGTGCAAATTAAAGATGCATGTGGCATTGATGAGTGCTATTTAGTAATCTAGCAGAAAGTGAGGTGGGAGACAGAAGTTGTAGTCAATGATCAGAGCGAATGGCTTTTTTAAAGAAATATAAAACAAAAAACTGGTATTCCTGCCTTCTGATTTTTTCCAACTGCTTATATTTTGGAATTGTATGAGCCAGCTTTTACATATTGATCAGTCTTTCTAGGTTTACACATCTTTTTCTCAAGGAAGGAAACAAGGGTCAGGCTCAACTCTTAGGCAAAAAGGAAAAATAACATGATGAGTGCAAGCAGTCTTCATGGGCAAGGGTAGTATGATGGGGGGGCAGGGCAACTTTCAAAGGTGCCCTCAAATTTGCACACCTTCATCATTTCCTGTCTCCAATTTTCATCGAATAATCTAAGACCACCTTGAGATCCTAGCAGTCCATCGGAAAACCCAATTTAACAAGCTTTAAGGTCGTCCATATAATCTCTCCTTCAAGAAAAGTCTCAAAACTGTGAAAAGGGACTATAGTGACCACAGTTGGGTGACATTTCAAACCCTCAATCCTCCCACACTCTAATAATCCTGACCCAACTGCTTACTAACTGTGGGCCTTGTGCGCCTCCTTTTCTTCCTCTGTAAAATGGGGATAATACCTTCTTCGTCAGGTTGATGTTAAGAGTAAATGAATCCACGGAAACCACTTCGAACAGTGCCTGGCACGGAGTAAGTGTTCAAATAGCATTAGCTATTATGACTGTTACTACTAGAATTTGCAAAACACACTACAAAGGCACCCGCAAACAGGAGGCTTCTGAGGTGTCGGTCAAGTTTTGTGGCTTTTAAAAAACAATCGAAAATCGGAACAACCGTCAATACAAAAAACGTTAAAAGGGTTTTGGAAAAAGGGAGGCGGTGGGAAGCCGCCCAGAATCATGCCACCTGTTGGTGAGTTTCAGGTGAGGGTACAGCTCAGAGCACTGGGTTCTACTACTGCCCCGTTTCCCCCGTTCTCGATCAGCGTTTCATGCGCAGGATCACAGGCGGCTCCGTGAGCCCCCTGAAACTGAACACGAACTGGGTGAGGCTGTGGCTCTGGGCATTCTGGGGCCGGGGCGAGGGGTTCCATAGCTCTTCTCAGGCTCCAATAAATTCTCGGGGTAGGAGCAACTTGCTTTACAGGGGTAAACTCAGGGGATATCGACGGAGGAATTCACTTCATGGAAGCTGCACCAATAAATCTGGACACCGGGGCTGTAAGCCGCCTATCTCAACACCACGGAGGCCCGGCGCTGAGAGGGGCGAGAGCCGGGCAGCCAGCGCACGGCGCTGCACCCCTTACCACTTACACGCAGACCTGTGAACTTCACCGCGAAAAACTCAAGGGCTTCACAGACGAGACCCAGGTTTGCCGGGTTTAACTTCCCCTCCCTTCCCCCATCTCTCGTTCCCTTCCAAGAACAAACTCAAAGGAAACTGGCAACGCTCCGTCTAGGGTTTCACTCCTGCCCTCGGCTGACACTTCAACCACTTCTCCCAGGGAAGTTAATTAAAAGAACAATTAATCCGCACAAAAACCCAAAACATACCCCAAAGCTCGAGAGCTCCTAAAGTTAGAAGACTGAGGGCGCCTCTGCTGATTGTGACCATCTCCCCGTCACTGGGGCTCATGGCTAGGCAGAGGGTACGACAGGGAAGCAGGCAAGGTCCCGCCGCAGGGTCTGACGCCGGCCGCCTTCAACGCGTCTACGCTCACCGCCGCCCGTGTAGACGGGCTTGGTTGGAGACAGCCAGGTATATGCAGGTAGGTGCGAGCAAGTGCAAGAACACACAGCCGCGGCGGATTAAAGTTCAAGCCCGTTCACACACCGCTTCCCCTTCCCCTGCCGGCGTTCTCACGCACGGCCGGGGCGGCCACTCCCCGGGCAAAGCCTGGGCACTCGACGGTCCCCGTCTTCGGAATGGGCTCCCCAAATCCTTAGGAAGCCCTCGTGACTCCCCTTGCCACCCAGCCTCCAACCCCTGAAAAGCATCAGCCTCCCTCGACTCTCCCAGGCGGGCGCAGAAAACCCCCGGGAAGAGAAATGGAGGGGCCAGAGGAAAGCGGGGTGTCGCCGAGGGCAGGTGGCTCGGGGCGCGCAGCAGGCAGCGTACGTACCCAGCGCGAACAAGGCGAGCTGTCCAGCCGAGGGTACCATCTTTCGGGCGGCGGGCAGCAGGCGCTCCAGCCTCCTGCCCTACCTGCGGTGCCCGAGTGGCGAAGCGGCGCCGCGCTGCGGGGGAAAAAGGCGCCGGCGAGGCAAGGCCAGCCCCCGGCGCGGGCGGGCGGAGGCAGGACCGAGCGCTCTCTGCTGCGCTCACCCTGCTGCGCGGCCGGCCGGGCGGAAATGGGAAGGCGGTTACCGTCACCTCTCCGCCACTCGGCGACCGGGCCACACCGGACCACCCTCCCGCCCCGGTGGGGGTGCCCCCCTACGGCCACAGGGGGTGGGGGTGTGGGGCTGGAGGCGGGGACGCCGCGCGCACCGTGCAGGGCGCGGGCGGCGGACGGGGCGGGGCGAGCGGGGAATCTCGGAGCCCCGCCGCGCGAGCCCGGCACCCTGGCGGACGGGAAGGCAGGAAGCGCCCGACTTCAGACACTACCCTCAGACTAGCTGCGCCGTGCGGCCCCCGCGGAGCTCGAGCGTCCGGGCGCGGTGGTGGCTTCCAGGCTCGGCGCGGGGGAGCGGAGCCGCGCGGGCGTCCGGCACCTGCGCGGACAGCCGCTGCTGGGGGTGGGGGGGCTCTCCCGGCAGGGGACAGGGGACGCGGCCCGGAACGGGACCGGCGAGCTTCGTCCGCCGCCTGCCAACACTTGGTCCAAGGACAGGGCTCCCCAGAATCAAGAGAAGAATTTGTTAAGCCAGGTTTCCCACCTGCACCCCTATCCCGGTAGAGAATTCTCGATTCTAGGGTTGCCGGCCTCCAGGGCACATTGTTAAGATCAGCGGGCTTTCGTTTATCTGGCCTGGGATTAATAATGAAGATGGGTCTCTAAGGGTACCTGGTTATCCACCATTAGTACCACCCCAGTCCACCCCACCCTACCCCGCCACAGGCAGCTGGGGCCAAGAATAGGGTAACATGCAACAAGGGGGCCAAACAGAGGGATGTATGGGCTAGAACCGTCTAGGTGGCTCTTTCAGGATTTGTGGCTTGGAGGTGGCCCCTGGTGCTGGAATTTGGGCAAGTGGAGGGGACAGAGGGAAGACATTCTGGGTAGAGAATGGAGGACCCATAGATTTCTTGGGGACCATCCCAAAGTTCCCTGAGGACGGTCCGTAGGGGACAGTATGCCCCCAAGAAGCAGTGACCCATCTTATTTTCCAGATGCCCCAAGCTGAGGGACTAAATCTCTTCTCTTGACCCCTCCAGCCTGTCTGCTCAGGGTAGACCCACTTTCCTTGGGTGGGTGGGCCAGGGGTGGGGGTGGGGGGAATCTCTTGCTCCTTTCTTGGCCTAAAACTCAAGATTCTCAGGGTTGACTTTTGTTAAGTTTGTTTCATATGAGCAGAGGGACCTAGTTTGGGAAAGGAGGCATCAGGCCATTGGCCTCAACATTTGGCAGGAAACACCAGTGTAGAAAGGGATTTTGAAAATAGCCTAAATTTACTTTGAGAAACCATTCCTTTCAATACATTTGTCAGAGGATACTTTGCTGTTCTTTCAACCCTTAATAATCTGCAGTGACGGTGGTGTGGTAAGTCCTGGAGTACAGCTTTTCCTGTGTCCACACCATGCCTGCACAGGGTAAACACACACACACTCTTTAGTAAGTGATCCCTGACTCCCTTCACTGCCCACCTCTTTCAGGCTGGTGTTGACCCGTTCTGGTGGCTCCTCTGTCTCCTTCCTAGACTAGCCTGCCTCGGTTACAGGAGGGAAGAAATCAGTTTTCAATGCCCTATCTCCTGTTCTTCAGGACCCCCAGGTAGGACTGGAGAATGGACTTGTCACCTCCTCCCCGCTAGGATGCACACATCAAGTTCACTATGGCTGAGAGCTAGCTGCCCAGTTTGGCAAGAGTCGGGTTCAGCAGTCTCCCCTTCTCTGCCCCCTGCCCACACACAAAGTCGTGGGTGGGGGGAAGTAGCAGCAGAATCAAACCAATGAGCTTGTCCCCTTCAGGACTGTAAAATCTTTTTAATCAAGAGGTAATTTGATATCTTGTAAACTAAAGAGTACTCCAATCAAAGTACATCTCATGCTTTGAAATCCTTAATTCTCCGCCAACATGTTCAAGAGCCCATCCACATCTACAGTTTTATAAACCTTCCAACTCATTTGTGTCAAACAGATAATCAGCCTTTTCTTACAGAACATTTACAACATTTTTTTGTAAACTGAATTGAGATCATTTTTGAACATTTATTTATAGAGCTGGGAGGAAACCTCATATCCTAAAATGTGAACATTCTGCCTTGAGCATCTTCTATGTCTCATTCAATCTTCACAACAACCTTACGAGATAGATTCCATCTTCCTGTTATTTGAAAATAATTGAGACCTAGAGAATTTATAAATACCCAGAGTCACAAAGCCTGCAAGTGGCAGAGCCCGATTCTGAAAGCACAACGAGCTGGTTCCCAGGCTGATGTGTTGGCTTCTCTGCCAAGCTGCCTCAGTTTTCACATTTTTAATAAGGATAATACTGAACTCATTGGGTTGATGTGAGGACTAGATGCAAAAATCTATCTGCATGCTTAGCACAGTATTTGTTATCAAAACTTATAGCTATTGTTGAGAGAAAATCTCTCTCGGTGGACATACCTTGCCCCTCTCTTAATTTCCTAGCATTATCCTTATTTTATCATTTCCCTACCACTTCCTTTGCTCACACCTGCCATGTGTGTGTATGTGGTGAGTGTGTCTTCCTATGGGGATAGTTTCACAGGTTCCTCAGGAGCTATGAATTTGGTTTTTCAGCCTGTGGTGTAAGAGCAACGAGGGGGGAAAATTACAGGATGCAATTTAAAGTCAAGAAATCATTTTTTCCTAAAGAATGGTGTGATGTTTTGGTATTTTAGCAGTATGGAATACATTGCTCTCTGAGCCGTGTGAAGTTCTAGCATTCTTCGCCTATAGGCTTGGCAGCTGTCTCGCCAGGCCACCGAAGGTCCTGTTTCTGTGTGCATGTGGTGCCTGATGAGTATGTGGCCTTCCCACTACGAATACGCCTGGGCTGCCTTTGCACACACTTGCTTTAGCTGGCCTTGAGCTCCAGGACAGTCCCTTCTGTCCTAAGCCAATGACAGCCCCTCCTCCTTGTGCAAACAAGAGAACTATGTTATGCTCTACTCAGCGGCTGGTAAAATGCCCCTGTCAGTTTTCCCTTTCCTTTCTTCTACATACTTATTACAGAGCATATGTTTAAAGAGTCCCTTTCTTCACTGTAATCAGCCTCCCCCTCTTTCCTGATTCATCTGGGAAGTGATTGTGGGCCCACAAGCACCAGAGTCTTCCCTGAATGATTCAAGCCAGCTGAGCTTACTGTCGAGCTTGGCAATCACCCAAGGTATTAGTGAGTCAATGGCCTGGACATTCTCAGGGAGGAAGTACAACTATGGGCCACGGCGGTGACGGGATTGCAGTTCCTGCAGGCGAGCTTCCAGGGCAATGATCAGAGCTGGCTTCAGGTGGCTGTGGGACCTTTCTTGGTGGCAGCAGTGGACAGGGGCTCAGAGCGAAACCAGGAAAGGGTGCCTAACCCAATAGGATGGCAAAGGTCAGATATCATGAGAGAGGTTTTATAAAGAACTCTGGAGAACTGTGTTTAGACGGAGTGAGGAGATTTTAATGTGTCAAGGGATTTAGGAAGAGAAATCTAATCCAAGGTAAGGTATTGTCCAAGTATCAGCCCCCCTGCAACCTCAGCTATTAGCATATTCCTTACCTCTAGTCAGAAGAAAAATAGGAAACCTTGTGCTGAGTCCATTTTTACAGTTTTCATTAGCATAATGGGCAGGGTATGAATCCATGAGAGGCATTTGCTTTGTCCCTCAGCTACCTGGGTGATTTTCATGGCCAATGTTGTCCGAAGACTGGTTTGACTTTCTGCTTAATGTCTTTCACGCCCCCCACCCCCACCCCAGGTCTCCAGTCTACCTTTGGAATGCACATTGGAGTTGTGTCCTTCCTCCCCAAGGAATATCACAGCATGGCCCTAATGCCCAGTAGTGAAGTCTGGAGGTTGATGGTTCCATCGGTGGTCCAAGCAGCTCCAAGACATCGAGGCACTGGTCAGTGTCTAAGACTCGGAGTAACTAGCTGGCTGTTATGACTAAAGACATCATTTTCTCATGCAGCCTGTGAACCACCTAGATGACCAGGATGCAGTAGAGGTACCTAGAGGATTCAGCCCAGCTGATGTCAAACCATCCCATCAAGCACGCTTGGAGGCAGAAGAACTATGCCTTTAATCCTGTCTTTGCTGCTGTCCCCCTAGCAACCATACCTTTCTGAGAAGATTGCCCCCAGAATTCTTAGGAGTGTGGAGGGGAAAGTCCGAAATCAAATGCCTAGAAATCTTTAGGCAAGTAAAACTAACAATGTTGGAGGAAATAGGGTAGTGATGATCCAGGTAGATGACAGGGAGCCAGGGAAAAGAAAACAGAAGGAACTGAGGAAGGAGGAATCAAAGGAAGAGAGTTACAAAGGAGACTTAGGATTTGTTTTTCAATGATGGCTCAATCTGCCTGATAAACTCAAGAAATTCTCCCCAAGCTCAGAGGAAAAGGACACAAGAAATTATGAGAGATAAGATTTGAGAGCGAGAAAGACAAAACCAAGACATTAGAAATCTTTTTCATAGGGTGCCCAGCAAGGGAACATAGAGCTGATAGTGGAGAACCAGTTCTCGTACCGCAGATGGGAGGGGTTAGTGATTACAGGAGGGGCTACACCTCACATGGGTCTGTAAGGTGGAGGGGACTTTGTCTAAAGAGCCTACGAGAGGTGCAAGGAAAGACTTCCATTCTGTGACATTTAAACCCTCACATTGAACTTCTCATCCTGCCTTTCTTCCCAACTCCCATTGAAACAGCCAAAGGAAAATAATGATAGGGGAAAATCTGTCATTGTTCAAAACTGAACAAGGATTACACCCACATACCAGACATTTCAACGAATTTCTATGAGACTTAATGCAGATGAAACAAGTTTGAGAGAAGGGTTTGACAACCTTCAATTCCCCTCACAGACAAGAACTGCCTCTCCAGGGAGGGAACCCCACCAGAACCCAGTAATGTTCCCAAAGTTGGCTGTGACAAGGGCTGTGGGCAAAATTAATCCCAGGAAAGTTGGAAGGGGCAATCCCCTTCCTCTTGAAGCATCCAGAAAGGGCCCAGGTACGGGGG